CCAGTCCATGGTGGATATCTATTTTATATCTATGAACTGTAATTTATAGACATGCAAATGTCCATAAATAATAGTAATTATATAGCAAATTATTAAAAAATTACGCCATTGTGCTCGCCATTGCAGCTAATAGTACCGTTCAGATATTTAAAATTATTATTTTTAAGGTGTATTCAATATCCCATGGACATCCACTAAATATATCAAAGTCCAGGCGCGAACGCAAACCATCGTGGATATCCACTAGATGTTATTTTTGATTTTGCTTACTAAGTATAGATGACGATACCACTTTCGCATCTACTCATGCTCAACCCGCCGTAATTGAGTTCGATCGAAATTTGTGTCTCAATCAGACTCCATTAGAGACTGGAGTCGAGAATTTCCATTTATTGCTGAAGAGTCCTAATAAGGATAACTTTCTCATTAGTGGGCAAAATCAAAGGCAGAGTATTGAAAATATTTTTTATCTCTGCTATTTTCTTTCGACTTTATTCAATAATCATTGGTTACAGTTCATCAAATTTCTAGAGGTGTTCGACGCCCAGACAGAGAACGCGCTACGTGTGACTAAGATAGCTATTGTACAGTCTGCTAAACAAGTTATTTTAAATAGTTTTTAATATTTTTAGGTAATTAAATTTTAAAAGTGTGGAATAGTTTAGGGATTAAATTGGTCTGATTGGACTTTCTTAGAACGTTTTTAAAAGCAGCTAAAGATAGTATGTAGAATTGAAAATAATTATTATGCCATAAAAGGTGTTTTGGAATTCCTTCAACCTTTTGAAATTGAGTCAGAAAATATAAATTTTATAGGATAGCGGAAAATACCTATAATTTTTTTGTAGGCCTTTGTAAATCGTGGAAATAGTTTATATTTTATTTCTACCTTATTAAGGAAAATGGTACCTATTATTAATAACGGTTGTTTCTGAAACATTACTAAAATTTTCGAAATTTTGTTTTTCTACAAAATAATAAACTATACTATTTAGAAAAAAATTTATTTCTCTTATAATTTTATAAAAAATAACAGGGGAATATTTACATTTCTTGATCTATTAAACAAAACGATAAATTATCTCGACGAATGACACCATGTTCTAGTACGGAAGCTAGCTTTACATTTTTGTTGGTGGTTTCATGGGTTTCATATCAATTTTTTGTAATTGTAGTTTACACGTACATATACCTCTTAACACTTGTTTGCTTTAATAAAAAAAGTGTGTTGTTGTGATTTACGTCGAAATAAGTCAAAAACAACTTGAAACCCCATATAAAATCAAAAAGGAGAAACGGAAAAAAATTGAGCCTGTAAATGAACTCAGAAACAAAAATAGCTATCTAATAATAAAAAAATAAAATTTGATTCTTGTGCAGCTTCATCTATATCATTAACTGTTTTTGGTTTTTTAATGGTTTTTCTTGGTGATGAAAATTCCGATATCTCACGGTTATCGATTATTTTTTTCTCTCCAGAAATGCGGACGACAGTGTTTTTAGATACTCCTGTGGCTGCAGCAACACGATCATTTACATTTTTAAATGGTATTGAAGGTGAATTAAAGTTTCCTTCTCTTCTCATAAACTCTATAACATTGGCTATTATTTCGCGAGATTGACTGTTAATCACGCGGCCTCTTAATTTGCTATTAAACTCCATACTTAGGTTCTATTAAACTGTAATGAGCAAAAAACAAACGAAAATAAAAGAAATGTTTTAGCGAAATTTACATCTGACATTTACGTCTGAATGAAATAGTGAAATACTTGATGCGCAGAGTGTACTTTCATTGCGTAAATCCGTCGGGTTGCCTGTCAGTAGTGCTTTCTCTGTCTAGCCGTCAAAAGCCTCTAGAAATTTGATGAACTCTACTTATGAACCTCTACTAAAGATACCTATAAAATATTTTGCTGAATATCCGAATTCTTCTATATCCTGGGATATAGACGGACATTTGGTTGGATATCCATATTCTGTGGATATCTCTGGGATTTCTTGTGTAGTCTGGAAGATATTCATTAGATATTTTGCTGGATATCCATATGCTATCTTCTATATTCTGGATATAGACGGACATTTGGATATCAATATTAGATCCACGGAATATTTCTGATATCCTGTGGATATATTGGATATCCACAAAAGATATTCTGGGGATATCTCTGGGATTTGGTATGTTGTCTGGGTTTTGGCCCTAAGGCTAAAAAGTTTGGAGACCCCTGCTCTACAGCGTTCTAAAGAGCGGCACGTTTTGTTGTTGAAGGCGACGCTCCCATGTTTTGCACTGCTTTTATTTCACGAGTGCTATGGGCCGAAAGGATGGTTGTATTAAATTTTAAAAACAGTAAACCTGAATAAATACACTTTATATATTTTTATTCGACTAGATAGTTTGACAATTAAGGTAAGCGAGCGCTCAAAAGCAACAAATGTAAATTTTATCAAAGTAACCCCTATTTTGTTACACTTAAATTTATAATTTATAAGCGATTTCAAAAATCAATCAGAAATTTAATAGCCCCATCATTTTTAATAGTACCTTTTAATAGAAACACAAGCAAAAAAATTCTTAACCGGTCCACACCATTTCTTCACTTTTTTCTAGAGAGGCAAGGAGGGTAAACTTAAAACGCTGTACAGGGCAATATTTTGATCCGATTTAAATGAAATTTAGGCATCTTTTCAAAATACGGCAAAAGTAAAAATCTGAGAATTTTCAATGAATCCGTATTTACCCATCCCTCTCAAAGATCCCCAAGTCACCCAAGAGTAACCTGTAAATACGCCATTTAAATTTATAGTTCGAAAATAAAATTCCGTGTTCAAGCACGGAATTTTATATTTCCGTGTGCGAACAAGAAATTCCGTGTTTGAATACGGAATTCCGTGTTTAAATATGAATTCCGTGTTTGAATACGTAATTCCGTGTTTGAATACGGAATTTCGTGTTTGAATACGGAATTCCGTGTTTGAACAAGGAATTCCGTGTTCGCACACGGAAATTTAGATATTAAAAATGTGGCCCTTCTACGCTGCCGTAGAATTTTCCTCGCCTAGCTCATTTTGTTTTTCTAGGCATCTCCATACCATTTTTGAGCTGATTACGTAAGAGTTCAGCACTTTGATGATGATAATCTCTTGTCTGCGATAGTTTCTCTCAATGTTGAACTGGGTACACTTGGAAGATCTTCCCTTTCAGAGTGCCTGGTTCTAGGCCCATACACTTCCTTCTATGGTTTTGGAACGATCCGTAAACCACTGAAGTTGCTAGCACGATTCTCCACTCTTCTCCATTCTTTCTTGCAGCCCAGCTCTGTGGTTTTGAAGTTTTTTCAAAATTGTATTTCTTTTTCATTACGTCCTAGGGTGTATCCCAAGTGTCATCCATTCTGAAGCTAATAGACTTTCGTCTTATTACTCCCTTCCTCATTATTCTATATCTTGTCCTTTTTTGCCACATTCTCTATCATTAAAAGTAGAGGGGTGAGGTTCAAGATCACCTCCATTGCAGCCGTAGGACAGGCTAGTCTTTCTATTTTTGAGACATTAACTAGAGTAGTCCTGTTACTCCAGGCTACAGCCCCGTAAATGATGATTGGTCTCACTATTACTTTATACATTCATTGCAGTGTTTTTGGGTTACATCCCCATATTTTACCCGCAATGTTTCTAAAGACCAATATGGCTTTTGTTGCCTTATTTACTACTTCCTTCTCATGTATTTCCAGATTAGTTTATTATCCAGGGTTAGGCCTAGATATTTGACTTCCTTCTTCCATTCTATAACTATCCCGTCTAATAGGACGGTTTTGAAACTGAAGTTTCTTTTCCTTAAAAAGGCTAGTATAGTGTTGTTTTAATGGGGTTTATACTAAGTCCCACCTCACAGCATCATCTTTTGGTGTATTCTAGTCCCTTTGGACAATATCACACAGGATATTTTCAAACTAACCTCTAGCAAATATGATTATATCATCGGGACAACCTTGACGGGGTATGACGAGGTCAGTCAATCTACATAAAAGTTAGTCTACGGTTAGGCTTCACATTAGTGGGGATAGAACTCCTCCTAGTGGACATCCTCTGGTTGTGCAGATGGAGATGGTCTCCTACCCTGGTTGTCAAATGCCTCTTATGTCTCTAAGAAGTCTCACACGACCGTTTCTTCGTTTATCAGTGCATCCTGGATTTCGTCAGTCAGCTGTGCCAGGGACACTCTCCTTAATACGAGGTAAGGAACCCTAATGCACGATAATTTGAGAAAAAACATGATCGATCTGTGACACGGTTCAAAAACGACATATCGTTAGGATAACAGTAGGTCTTCTTACTGGACACTGTCGCCTAAGAAGGCCCATAAGTGTCATCAACCCAGCAGAAGAAGCAACATTGTTCAGGTTCTGTAAAGAAGAAGAGGATAAATCAATCCACGTCCTGTGTCAGTATGATGACCTGGCTGGATTATGTTTCTAACACTAAGTGAAGAAAAGCAAGAAACATGTAATTACATGCGAGAGCCACTTTAAAAGTTACTAAGTCTAATAAAAAAAACAAGCTAGACCAGATACTCTAAATAACGGAGTCCCACAGTAGATCTGAAAAGGTCGCGGTAGACAAGGACAAATAATGTCTAATCTAATAATAGTTTAAATGTCTAAAATAATATGAGAGGGAATGAATAAGTAGTAAAACCATATTTTTGGTGTTTCATTTTTCGTTTTCATGTAAATTTATTGTGTAATTTCAAATAACATTTTTTATATAATCGGAGGAAAATATTGTTATGATAATTGACTATAATAAAAAGATTTGAACATTAAATTGATGATGAGTGATATTCGCATTTTTATGGCTCAGATTACTTTCGCCCAAATTGTCATAAACAAAATACAATGTTATCTCGACACATTCAATTTCTAGGTCTTTACTACAAATGGTGCTAATACCTATTATAAGTTTATCTTATCAATTATTTCTTTATCAACAAAAAGTAATAATTTAACAGTATGTGGGTATGTTTAAGTGATGTGTATTCAAAGAACATGAATCCGAAATTCAAAATAATATTCTATATTTTGGTTTTCAGCTTCACTATAATCAATCTGCATCTTCTATCAACTCCAAAAACTTCTGTAGTTCAATTTGAATCTAGAAATATAGATTTTTTTCAAAGAAACCACATACAATGTAACGACATCGTATTAGAAAAATCCATCGAATACCGAGGAAATTACATAGTGTTAAAAAACTATATATTAGCTAAAAGGTCGTTTAAATGTCTGGAAAGTATAACTTTGAGTGTACCAGGTGATTATAGATTTCTGGATAACATTTTTCCACTAGTAGAGCGATGGAAAGGACCCATTAGTGTAGCTTTATATGCACCTGGATATGATTTTTTTAGTACTTTACAGAGCATAGCTTACTTAAGACACTGTTCCGTCTTTTCTTCGTTGGTAAAGGATTATGTCACATTTCATATTTTTTTCGATGAAGATCATATGCCGCAAGTGGTAAGTAAAACATAAAAAATATTTAATATATCGTTAGCTTAAGAGGTAATATAATTATATACAGATACAGAAAGATTTTACAATGAATTCGACAAGGTATAATACGATGTGGCATTCGTTTACAATACTGCTAAACATTTTTAACTGACTTCAAAAAAAGATTCTCAATTCGTCGTAATATTTTTTTTATGTATATACAGCGATTATTTCTACCACGTTGTCCGATTTCAATCCTTTTTTGTTAGGGATGGTCTCATATAAATTTGGTCTAGATCAAATTTGAAAAAATGTGCTTCTTAAACTGTAATAGGGAATGACAATTTATGTATTTATTTATTTTAAATTAATTCTGATGCTTTGGTAGAATTCACTGTTGGGTACTAATTAACAGTGCTGTTCTTAAAGTGGCGCTGGGAAACAGTTACAACGCCCAAACAGAACACAAGGCGAAATGACCATCATAGTAGTTGAATCCGATGACCCACACACAAAAAAAAAAATTAATCCTTTAACTATTTATGTTTTTTAATATCTATTTGCAAAATAATGAAAAAATATTAATAATATAATAAAAATATTATTAATATAATAAAAATATCATTAATATAATAAAAATATTATTAATATAATAAAAATATTATTAATAATAGTAATAATAATCATCCCGAATAGAAAAGCGGGTTTTGAAAGCTATTAAAAGCCAATATAGCGGTCTCTATGTCTTGCAAAACCTGCTATATACATAATACAGTTGCAAAACACGCTATATAGTAGGTAAATATAAACCTAAATAACTTAATTCGGCAATTTATAGGATTATACGCAACTAGTCCTACGATTTAGAATAATTATTTTTAATTTTTTCAATCATCAAAACATTTTCTGTGTCTTATTTTTATTTAGTAATAGGTTTTTCGTTAAAATCCAAAATTCAGTTATGAAGCATATAGCGGGTTTTGCATATGGGCTACTCAATTATTAGTCAATATTCATTATAAGCTACTATTCCCCATCTTTATAGCGACTATTTCGTCGGTGGAAATTATTTCCGCGGCAAGATGACGGCGGCGAGTCGGCGGTGGCGAGTTGTCCCCGCGACGGGCGGTGGCGAGTTGTCCCCGCGGCGAGATGGCGACGGCGAGATGACGGTGGCGAGTCGACGGCGGCGATTTGTCCGATCCCGTCAAAAAGATATTGAAAAATCTTAATTTCAGTACTTTACAAAAGGAAGTCTCTGCTTTCTTTTCTAAAATTCTTACACCTTAATTTATAGTTTTTTTCTTGTAGTTCTTGGGTTTTTAGGTGTTTGTAGAAAATGAAATTCGTGTGTGTGGTTATAGTTTTCGGCACTGATCAGTGCCTTCTTCAGTAGTTTTTTTATTGGTAAAATATTTCTCTTTCGGGCCCTCATAGATGTCCAGAAATAATTTTAATTGATTTTTGAACGTTTTCCTTTTTATTATTAACTAACCATGCGGTTGATTCTAAATCCTGTCAATTCTATCTGACACATCCATTGATTCATCCAAGGCCAGAGAAAAGCACTCAAGATGTCCATTTTATCAGACAGTTGAGGTATATTTTCTGCGATGTCTTGTACCCTCCGAGCACAATGAAAATGTCATTCACCGGGCCCCTGAGTAACGGTATTTGCTGACAAACTGACAGTTTTAAATAAATTTACCTTTTTCACGTTTTGCGATTTCAAGAGCCATACGAAAGATGGCACGAGTTGCAGCCCTCTTGTTCAATATTGACTTCCATAAACAAAGATTGCTGCGATTTTAATCTGCGCTTCAAAGCTTCAAATTTTTCTGTCCGCATATTTGGCGTATATCTTGAGTAATTTTGAAATTATTTTGTTTCATAATGACGTTTAATATTATATTCTTTGAGAATGGCTATGGTTTAATTGCAAATCAAATATAGCGCCTTATTACTGGATTCAATTACGAAATATTGAAAGTTCCATACTAGTAAATCACACACAAAAACAAGTCAAATCAAAATACTGTTACGTGTAAGGGCGTTGGTCGGTTCGAACATGTCTTTTAAACGCGGTTACGCACTACTTTGTTTCACAACAGACAGTTTCGCTTCCTTCCCTTCTCTATACAGACTGACTCGCGGTCGCACCGCTAGCATTTTTATACTCCGATACACTAGAACTTTCCCGAATCACTGAGGTTATTCACGAATGTTTAATTGTTACTGCGATTTCGAAAGTACTACTAGCGCCATCTGTTAGCGATAGAGGGTACTACCACTACCTATTTCCGCTTCCAGATTTCGTCAAGTGTCATGGTCGTAACAATACACAATAGTAATTCAACTAGCGAATTTAGCAAGCGTATGCTCGCTCAGGGCGCGTACTGTGCGACTAGTCTATAAATTATAGACAATAGCCCTTGTAATAGTTAAAAATATTTTCTGCGCATGCCTCAAATTCCGCCATGTTTTTCGGGGTCTTTAAAAATATACATACAGTACACACCAGATTTTCTACACAATTAAAAAAAAAATAGGTACAATCACTTATATTTAAAAAATAGTAAAATTTAAATGAATCTATACTCATAATTAAAAAATTGAACAAGTATTTTTATAGAAATAAAAAAAGGTGCAAAAAAACGTTGTTCTTATGGAGTATGCCGTAGTGATACACGAAGTAAATCCTTTTTGGAGAATCAATATTTTTTTGTGACTTTCCCAAAACCTTGATGGAAATTTTTGCCAAAATCTGGGAAAACTCAACGAAGGACTATTATTTGTTACTTGATGATTACGTTGCTTGTCTTGTTCTAGCTTCAACTACTTCCCTTTATCTAGACTTGGATCTACTGGGACACCGTTGCGAATTGCGTTCTTGACCCTACAAAATTTACAATCATTTTGAGAGTTCAGTATTTTTTAAAATCAATTCACATAACAATACTGTTTTAATTAATTTTTTATTTAATTTTATTGGTAACAGAAGTGACAATGCTTGTTGCCCGGCCATATTCGTAAAAAGTGCCCGAAACTTTCATATAGCCGCCTTTTAAACATGCAAACCATTTAAAGGCCTATTGCAGAAAAATTAAAATGGTTTTGGCACTTGGAACTTACTGGAGTAATCAGTATGGCCCTAAGGCTAAAAAGTTTGGAGACCCCCTGCTCTAGAGCGTTCTAGAGAGCGGCAAGTTTTGTCGTTGAAGGCGACATAAAGGCGACGCTCCCATGTTTTGCACTGCACTGCAGGTTGTATTAAATTTTAAAAATAATAATAAACCTGAATAGAAACACTTCATATAGTTTTTTGTTCGACTAGTTTGACAATAGGCCTTTTCATCATGTAATGAGCGCAAGCGCAGCAGTCATGTTAAAATAGCGGTAATTCAAAAGTTTCGTACTGTTTTGATCGACTCTGCGTTTGAGAATCCATCAGATGCATCTGAGATGTAGTAAATGTTTGATCACGTGATTCAGTATACATAAATGTAATGAGACAGATGCGTCCGATGTGGATAAAAAAACGCTCGAGATGTAAAAATGCATCCGATGTGGATTCTCAAACGCGGCAAATGTAATGGGACAGATGTGTCCGATGTGGCTAAAAAAAACGCTCGAGATGTAATAAACAAAATGCAATGTTATTTCGACACATTCAATTTCTAGGTATTTACTACAAATGGTGCTAATACCTATTAAAAGTTTATCTTATCAATGATTTCTTTATCAACAAAAAGTAATAATTTATCAGTATGTGGGTTTGTAAGTGATGTGTATTCAAAGAACATGAATGCGATATTCAAAAACATATTCTATATTTTGGGTTTCAGCTTCACTATAATCAGTCTGCATCTTCTATCAACTCCAAAAACTTCTGTAGTTCAATTTGAATCTAGAAATATAGATTTTTTTCAAAAAACCACATACAATGTAACGATATCGTATTAGAAAAATCCCTCGAATTCCGAGGAAATTACATAGTGTTAAAAAACTATATATTAGCTAAAAGATCGTTTAAATGTCTGGAAAGTATAACTTTGAGTGTACCAGGTGATTATAGATTTCTGGATAACATTTTTCCACTAGTAGAGCGATGGAAAGGACCCATTAGTGTAGCTTTATATGCACCTGGATATGATTTTTTTAGTACTTTACAGAGCATAGCTTACTTAAGACACTGTTCCGTCTTTTCTTCGTTGGTAAAGGATTATGTCACATTTCATATTTTTTTCGATGAAGATCATATGCCGCAAGTGGTAAGTAAAACATAAAAAATATTTAATATATCGTTAGCTTAAGAGCTAATATAATTATACAGAGTGTTTCCGAACTTGGCGTCCAAATTTGTAGGGGTGGTAGTTCGCATAATTTGAGAGCGATTGGCAGATTTCATTTTTCTAAAAAAATTATAATAATCAAAATAGAGCCAGTATAATAAAAATCAAAGAGCAGGTCCTATCCTGAGCGCGTAGCGCAATAGTCCTCAAAAACATTCTAAAGCCGGGATCCAACGGCGCGTGGAGCGGCACTCCTCGGCGCGTGGAATGGCAATCCTGGGTTGTGAGTTTAGTCTCAACGGTCGGACCGTTCCCACGGCGCATGAGGATCGAGCAGATGTGGACACGCGCCTATTGCAGTCTGTTTTACGAAGGCAGTGTTGGCGATAAAAAATTCATAATTTTGTTTAATTGCATGAAAAGATGAACCGTGAGCGGACGCATATCGTTGCTGCCTCAGCCTTTTATTTTATGTTAGGGGTTTACAGGATGGCAAGAGGACAAAAAATAAAACAAAAACAAAGAAGATGGTGGAGAGTGTCTTTGTATAGAAATCAAGATAGTAAGTACATTATACAATATTTTGAAACAAGTGTTTAAAACTGATTTTCACAAGCGTTATATACTATAATTTTTCTACAACTGCAATTTGGTTTGAAAACAAAAAAAGGGAGTCTTATTTTACACACATTTGGAAAAGGCTTGGAATAATAGACATAGTCTGACAGTCAT